TCGTTATAAATACGAAAAAAATTATCTGAGAGAAAATAGGGTTAAAAAAAGTTTTGAATGATAAATATTTATAAAAAAAAACAAAAATAAAAATGAATTTATCATCAACACAAATTTAATTCAATTTATAATCCTGTTTTACCTGCCATTTTTCACAAACACCCAAAAACCACAAACAGATACTACTTGTAAAAATTTCTATTATTCAACTAATTGACGATGTCAAAATATTATAATTTATATAAACAGTGAAGCCAACTGTCAACTGTCCTACGTCAAACACGAAAATCTTAAAAAATATGTATTCTCCATTTTACGCCGTCTCTCCAATAATTGCAATTATTGCAAAATTTAAAATTTACAGTTTGACTTCATACAGTTCAAAACATTAAAAAAGAAAAAAAATATTAAATGAAAATAGTTTACTTTCCTATTTCACAACTTTCCCGCTTATGAATAATTTTAAATTTTTAAAAATTACTTTTAAATTTTTAGAGGCGTTGCGGCAGTTCAAAACATATAGATTAGGGTGGAGTGAATTTTATTAAATTTATTAATTGATTTTTCCTATATTATTAATTGTTGACTAAAGGCGTAAAATGAATAAATATCGAAAAAATATTCCAATTTTTTAATATCTTGAGGTGGCGCATCTGTCTCGAAGATTTGAAAATTCTAAAAAAATATTACTTTAATCAAAGTAATAAAAATAGCATTATTTATAAATAAAAAGTTTATTTTAGTAAAATTAACGTGAAACGTAAACATATTTAATAGTAAATCATATGCTTTAAGTAACTTCAGGAGTGTTTATTGGTAGAAATGAGATCTTCTTTTTCGCGAAAATACTGACATTTGGTATCAAAATTTGGTAATTATTTTCTGACTTTAATTCTTGTTCTGATGAAACCATTTCTTGCTTCCGATCCACAAACCGAGACTGAAGATTCAGTATACTGGTTATAACCAGTTTTACACAGCGTTCCACTGCTTGGGTGTGACACTGAAATTTTTGGAAGTGTAGGAAATGGTCACCCGAAGAAATCATATCGGTAATTTCTGTCATCGTATTTCATAGTCATTGGTGGTTCAGTCACCTTTTCTGTCGCCCAGTGAATTAACTGGTACAAACGTAATGCTTCAGTATTTAGTTGTGGAAGCTTTAATTCCCGTAATCTCGAACATTTTGATTCTTTTCTCGCCTTTAATATTTTCGGCAATGCTAGTTCTCTGATCGATAGATATATTGTAGGTAACATAGCAAGTAATAGGTTTTCGGGATAAATATTTCGCTGAATATTCTTTATAACTATAGTTATAAGGCCTTCAAGTTTTTCTGGAGGTGTAATGCTCTTTTAGTCAAATTAAATATGTGAATAGGACCATGTTTGCACGTAGGCTTGCTGTTGATGTAAAACCACGTTGGGGCATACACTTTCATGATAAAAGTAGCCAATTCTTTTAGGTTTTCCGATGGATTTGCTGTCCCCCCATATAAACGAATAATCCTATTAGCCCACGTCAGCCATAGGGAATGTGCTAGCTTGCCTGGATCTTTGTAAGCTATAGCTAATATTTATCCCGAAAACCTATTACTAGCTATGTTACCTACAATATATCTATCGATCAGAGAACTAGCATTGCCGAAAATATTAAAGGCGAGAAAAGAATCAAAATGTTCGAGATTACGGGAATTAAAGCTTCCACAACTAAATACTGAAGCATTACATTTTTACGAGTTAATTCACTGGGCGACAGAAAAGGTATCTGAACCACCTATGACTATGAAATACGATGACAGAAATTACCGATATGATTTCTTCGGGTGACCATTTCCTATACTTCCAAAAATTTCCGTATCACACCCAAGCAGTGGAACGCTGTGTAAAACTGGTTATAACCAGTATACTGAATCTTCAGTCTCGGTTTGTGGATCGGAAGCAAGAGATGGTTTCATCAGAACAAGAATTAAAGTCAGAAAATAATTACCAAATTTTTATACCAAATGTCAGTATTTTCGCGAAAAAGAAGATCTCATTTCTACCAATAAACACTCCTGAAGTTACTTAAAGCATATGATTTACTATTAAATATGTTTACGTTTCACGTTAATTTTACTAAAATAAACTTTTTATTTATAAATAATGCTATTTTTATTACTTTGATTAAAGTAATATTTTTTTAGAATTTTCAAAACTTCGAGACTGATGCGCCACCTCAAGATATTAAAAAATTGGAATATTTTTTCGATATTTATTCATTTTACGCCTTTAGTCAACAATTAATAATATAGGAAAAATCAATTAATAAATTTAATAAAATTCACTCCACCCTAATATAGATATCAAAAAAAATATTTTGCAAAAAATATTTACTTTCCTATTTCACAACTTTTTCTTAAATGCAGAATTTAATATTTTTAAATTTTAGAAGTTAAATATAAAATCGGCCCACCCTAATGTACATTAAGGTGGTTCTTATTTCCCATATGTTTAAATTTTAATTGTGCCGCCCCTATTTGTTTCTAAATAAAAAAACAAAAATGTTTACCCCAATTTGAACTTCCTTGCTTGATCGTAATCATCCCCTGTAACGAGGAGAAGTTTTTCATTTAAAATACTTAAGATTTTTTTATCCTAATTATTTTACTAAAACCACTTACCTACTTAAAAAAAAGAAAATTTTATATGAAAATGTCGGGGATCGATGGTACTTTTAAAACAAAAAACAGAACAAAAATTATCGCTCATTGTAAGTTATTTTTACCTGGCTTATTTGAATTTTATTTCTTTATTTGTAATTGAAAATATTAAAATAGCTTATAATGACCGATATATTTTATCTGTGTTTTTTCCTTAAAAGTACCATCGGACCACGACAATTCCATTTAGCTGTTTCAGTAAAATAATCACATTTGGATACAAAAATACGATCTAGGTATTTTAAATGGGAAACTTTTTCTCGTTTCAGGGGTTGACAAGCACCAAAATATGAGGAATATGAGGAATAAATTGGGGTCAAAATTGTTAAAACAAATGGGACGCGGCAAAATTAAAATTGAACATTAGGTAAATAAGAAGCACCCTAATATACATATATATATATATATATATATATATATATATATATATATATATATATATATATATATATATATATATACTTTTTTTTATAAATTTTTATCTATAAAATGAAAAAAAATTACAAAAAACTTACCTATTACTTATTTTGTGACATTGTATTTTAGGTTAAGTTTGCGTTTACCGATGCTTTTTTGTAGAGAACATACAAAATCACCCTATACACAAAGACCAAAATATTTTGTAAGGCTTTCTTACAAAGGGCGGTTAGAGTGGGGGTCATTTTATTACAATACATATGAACATGTAAAACAAACAGGTTTGAGCTTGAAACTTAATTTAAAAAAGTATTAAAGATTTAAAAATAAAAACATGTTTTAGCCTGTCAAATATTTCCCGAACTTGGGATAGAAGAATTTGAAATAGAGGATGCAGAGGGGGCTGCCATAAATATTTATTTATATGTATATATATTAATATATTAAGAAAATAAAATGTTCTTTTATTTGAAAATACATTGTTTTTCTTGTATTGCATTTGTACCTATAGATCATTTAATGTTTTACCCAAAAATAGCTAAAAAATACCTAAATAATAATAACTAATCATAAAATAAATATTTTGTGTAAATCGTATTTAAGTCTATAAAAGTATACACTAAGGTAAGTAGAAGTTTTTAAATTGTAATATTTTGTTATAATTTTTTAATTTAAATCCTTGATGGGGAAATGAGTTACATTTTAAAATAAATTTTAGCCTTTTTTAATAAAATGGCCAAAATTATTTAAAAATATTCCATTTTATACTGAATTTTGAATTACCCTATATTAATGTACTTTAAAAAGGACAAGAAAATAATACTCAATTACAATAATGACAAAACGAAATGTTCAGTTAACAGTTCATTTTAATAAATTTACAAAAAAATAGTTTTACATTTAACATAAAAATATACTCATTTAACAATATATTTTGGCAAATTTACAAAAATTTGGTTTTACTTACAACAGTATAATTATGTTTATTTAAAAACATATTTAAGTAAATTTACAAAAATTCAGTTTTACTTTTAACAATAAAATTTGGTTAATTTAACAAAATATTTTAACAAATTTACAAAAAACAGTTTTATATTTAACAATTAAACTATTATAATTTAACAACATATTTTAGCAAATTTACAAAAATTAGTATAACTTTATACAAAAAATGTTTGTTTATATAGCAATATATTTTGTAAAATGTACAAGAAATTAAAGTTATTTAGTAACATTATTTTGACACAAAAACAAATCAGTTGTTAAAGTGACTAAATTATTTAACTATATAAGTGGTTAATTGTCCAATAAATTATTGTAAATTTAGCAAAATAGTATGATTATTTATTATTACCTATAGCGATTTTTGTAAATTGCCACTTTAATTGCGTGGACTTATGTGAACAATATTTTGATGTCAGGATGGCAACAATTTTTTTACTGTGTAGTATTTAGGATTTAGCTCCGGGGGGGGGTCCAAAAAAACTAACTAAATATGTATACATATTTAGTTAGTTTTTTTGGACCCCCCCCGGAGCTAAATCCTAAATACGCCACTGATAATTACTATAGGTACCTTACTCTGAATCAGTAAAACTGCAGTTACATTTGGCCTTTTTTATTATTGTTTGTATTTTCTTTTAAATAAAATTTTTGATTCACCGATTTTTAATTTATTTGTTAAATATAAACACGGCAACGGTGGAATTTAGTCTTAATAATTTATACCGATTTTGCGCAGTAATCTACCGATTTTAAACGCTACTTTCTCCCGATTTAGCATTTTGACGTTCGAAAACACTGATTTTCCGTTACATTTTTTTGAACTCGCTACCTCGCCTCAAAAAATGTAAATTTCTAAAACGCGTCTCTTTTGTTGCAGGTCCACCTAAAAGCCTCGTTCATAATGAACGGCGTGTGCGTGAGATGGCGCGGCTACATAGACCTCGAGCGTCTCGACGGCGTCGGCTGCGTCGAATTCAACGAAGAGAAGGCAGCGCAAGAGGACGCGCTTCTTCGCGAACAAATCGAGAGATATAACCAAAGACTAAGAGAGTTCGAGGACAAGCAGCGAGGGTACCGACAGGAGCGGCCCGATGAAATTGAGGTACGTTCCTCGATGCATGGCAGCCTCGCTTCTATGCCGCCTAGATTGTTCATGAAACAATATTAAGTTATATTAAGCGAGGCCCGAAGATGATTTCTTTGATATCTTAGTAACTACCGGTTTTACTTAAAAAAGTTATAAAGAAAAAATGTTGGGAATTTAATTATCTATATAAAATATAATAATATTTTTTGTTTTAAATCATCAATAAGCGAGATAATTTATCGTAAAATAACTATTATTAAAATATTTTGACTTAAGTCAATTCATGACAAAATCGTTAATATAATTATTTGTAGAAAATTGAATTCTTTATGATTTTTTTCTTTAGAATTAATAAGATATCACAATATAAAGTTTGACTGTGACCTTTTACGTATGGTAAAAGATTTGTACACTGATGGACAATAATGTTAAATTATTTACTTAAAAGTAACAAAAATTATATTTTCTGTCTGTCAGTGTATAGAAATTAAAATCTCAATGTTGGGATTTTCCCATCTACCTATGTTTTTAAATTATATTTAATTTGTTGTAAATATATTTTATAGTTTTTTATCGTTTAATATTTTTTCAATTTATTATTTTGTGTATATAATTTAAGACTTTGTTAATTATATTTTATAAAATTGCAATATGTAAATAATTGGAAAATAAATTTTAAGTGATTATATTTTTTTTTGTTTTATTTTTTTTTATATTTATTTTTTATTACAGCTTAATTTTTAATTTCGTTAAATTATGAAAATTGTTTATTTTTAATGGTAAGTAACTAATTTGTTAAAAACTAATTATGTAGGAAATAACTTACCGCATAATATCTTAGTTACGTAATATTTAATTAATATTAACAACTTTTGTTATTACTTTTTTTTAACTTAAAACATTATTTTACAAACTAATTCTGAAAACAATCAATTTATTTGGAAAATAATCTTGATAACATCAAGACCGAAATATTTAAACCTCTTGATAGCTTGATTTAAAACATTTTTCTTTGACGTTTCACAACCCTCTTAATTAAAACTGGATCACGCATCAAAACAAAAATGTTTAAAAATCGTTTGTTCGAAAATTATGCTCCATCACGTAGGCCGACGATTCGCGTTTGTTTATTAAATCCGGCACGCTGCTCCCCCATCGAACATTTTAAGACCACTTGATCCGTTCTAATGAATAACAAACAATTGAAAAATCCTGAAGCTGCTCAAGAACGCACACGCACTCCCTCGAACGTCGAATGTTTTGTTTTAACAATTGAAAAAAAAAGTTTTTGTATGAATGTATTTTTTTCAAATGAATGTTCTCTTTCTTTCATTAAATATACTAAATGGCCTCCACGATCTCCAGACCTCAGTTTCTAGGTAGTATTTAAAGAAGTTGTCATCCCTTGAGGGGATCATAGTTTACTCCAAAGTAAGTAAGTTTTTTATTTTTTTCCCTCACGTTTGCATAAGTTCCACTGTTTTTTAATAAAAAAAATATAACGTAACTCTTACACATTAAAAAATATTTGTTAATTTTAACCAAATATTACCTAACCAGATTTTATGTTAATCCATGCAGGTCCACATAACTTTATGTTAAGTTTACAACTATCTACAGATTACAATCTGTGTCAGACATTTAAAATGTCACATTTTGTAGATTTAATGACAAAATTCTATGTCAATAATAATAATAATTATTATTATTATTATTATTATTATTATTATTATTATTATTGGTCCGTATTTTTAAAAACCTTTTTGTAGACCCAGTAACAAAGGTATTTGTTGGAAATGAAAAGAGTTTTGATAAATAATGTTGCTTTATTAATTAATTTTCTAAACAAAAAAATTTGTATTTGTTAATTTTTTATATACATATTAACACAAAAATAACATACACACAATTAAATAGGGGGCTATTCATTAATTACGTAAGGGTATTGAGGGGGAGAGGGGTTAAGAAAATCTCTGCATGGGGAGAGGGGGGTGAAATTTATTCTTACGTAATATTTCGTAAATTAAAATTCAATATTAAAAATCTAATTCCATTTTACCATTTAATTTATTTTTTTGTGACAAATTTAAAACTAGTCAAATATTATTTTATGAAAAATGTTATTATAATACTATAGTTTGTAGTTTTACTGATTTACTGTTTGCTATTATAGTATTATTTTAATTATTACTTGTTAAAACATAAAAATGATGGATCCACGTTGAACTGTAAGTTTTAGTGAAACTGATCCTTTCCTACCATAACAGTTTATTATTTAGAAGCTCAAGATATCTTACGTAAGAAAGGGGTTCGAGAAATCTTACGTATACATGGGGGTAGGGGGGTCAAAAGTCACCAAAATTGTCCTTACGTAATTAATGAATGGCCCCTAACAACATTCTGTAATCATCAAATTATAAAGAAATTTGGAACAATACAACTATAACTAATTCAGTACGTAGGTACTAGTGATGGGATCTTTTTTCAGATACTTCGCACTTCGCACACTCGTTAAATAGGTATGCGGAATATGAATAACAATAATAACAGATTTCTGGTAATATATTATAAACACTCTGGACAGTTGTATGGTCGGAATGTTAAAATCATCGACATCAATACCGATAAAAACCATGGTTAAACAACTGGCCGACTCTACTTAGTCCGTGGACCCCAACCGCATTATTAAAAAACAGCAGAATTAATGCAAAAGTGAGGGAAAATGGAAAAACTTGCTAACTTGCTAACTATCATTCCCTCAAGAGATGACAACTTATTACGTAACACTTTGTCTCCATACTCACTTAAAATGAATTAGTCAAAAATAACTAATAATATTTGTCAAATTGTCATAGCGAAAATGTACTTATAATTAGTAAAATTCTACTGAATAAAATAGTAAAATTAGTAGATTTAAATTTAAAAAAAGTTCTGACCTGACACTTGGGTCTGTCGGTTGTCAAGCATGTCAAGCCTATGTCATAACCAATAAGCCATCAGTCACCTTCATAAAAATCAATTTTATTTGTTTATAAATAATATTTGCTATTAATATAATTAATATTGCTTATAATATTTTTTGTGTTGCTGTTTTGAGCTAAACTTTTTGTTTGTTTTTATGCATTTAACCAACAATAATTTGTTGTCTGCAAACGATTAAAGAAATTAGTTACTTATAACTCTCAGAAATAGTTAAAAATGAAGACTAATCTTAAATTAGTCAAACGTTAACTATTTAAGTAGTAAAAAATAATAATAATAATAAATTTAAAAGTGAAAACGACTATTTTATTATTAAAAAATGCTGGTACTAATCAAATGTAGAATTTTAAATATTTCATTTTAAGAGAGTACAGTACAGTAATTTTTAACATTGTTTGATTTAAATGATCCCCATGTGACCGTCGCAGCTTTCTTTAACATTTGAACGTACGCGTAAGAAGCGTCAGTGCGTGAATTCGTATTTAAATAAACAAGGGCAAGTACAAGTACCCGTTTTGGCCCCTCGTAAGTCTGAAACTCAATCTGTTTAAACACCATGTCTATGTCCCACGACGATTTTCGATGACCCCGGGGATAGATTACCGAATAATTCCTCGATCCGATTAAAAGCATTATGCACCTGATCAAGAACGTAAGGTTCTTTCTTGAGCAAAAAGTAGGGAAAAAAAACGTTAAACATAAAAATGTCAGTGATGGATCGAAATTATTTCCACCTACTAAGTCCCAAAGTCGAAATTAACACATCAGTGCATACGGAAATAATAAATTCCCCTAAACGTCTAAATATTAAACAAATCGAAATAAGCCTCTTCAATTTGAATGGGCCGATCCCGATCGTAAATCATCTGTCCCGTATTATGTTATTACGATTATTCTTCTGCATCCTGTTTGATAAATAATAACGAAAAGGACAATGAAATTTTGATACGGACAGTTTCCTTTCAATAAATAAGGAGAGCCATTGAGAATGACCTTTATAATATGTATACATTTTATGTTTGAAGTCAAGTATGTAGCTGTTTAAAGACGGAAGAGATATTCAGTAATATCTTTCTTACAAGATCATTAATGTTTAAAAGTTTAAAACAGTTTAAACTGTTAATTTTTAAAAAAGTTACTGTGTTGGCAAAACAATAGTCAAATTAAAATAAAGACGTGAAACTAAAAGTCGTAATAAAAAAATATTTTTTTTATTGTTTACTAAATTAAATCACCTAAACAAAGGATGCAGGTGCATGTTTCTTCTCATGTTCTCATCTGAAGTGCAAACACGAAAAATTCAATATCCAAATATCAAAATCCTTTTACAAAAGGAGATTTTCCATTTAAGAGACGGGGGATGTTTTATTGCTTTCCCTAATATATTTTGATTTCAATTAAATAGTTTTATTGGATCAAACCCCTCGGAATGCCTTTGTCAGGCCCCCGGGGTCGAAATCTAAAACGTGGAAGGGTAGGAGAATAACCCTTCGCAATTTCGTCCTTCTGTTTTTTAGATAAATTGATTGTACGATCGCTTAAAGGTCCTGATAAGGATGATTCGGGATTTAAAATGAAAAGATAATTATTTTAAATTTTAATGATATAAGAAATGTTTTAAACAATTTGTAGGAAACTAAATAAAGTACAAATTTATGTTATGCCTACTTCTTATTTTTTAAAAGCCTGTATCAGCAGAACATGAAGTTTCAAAGGAATAAATATCGACAATATAATTCATTAATATTAGAACCAATAAAATGCCAGTATTCCATAGTGACGTATTTTATCACAGCGGCAATAATTTTTATCATCTTGTTTACACGTTACTATGTACTTTGACGTTTTTTTGATTTGACATTTGTTGTCATTTAAATACTGTGTTTGTTACCTAAATTATTAAAATAATGAATTATAAACTCTAAAAGATCGATGGGTTGGTGTAAACGATAATAAAATTAAGGTAAGTTTGAATAAATAAGGTTTATTAAAGTCTTTTTATATTTTAAAGCACATTTTAATTTCAAATGTCA